CCTCACCACCACCACAACTGTCAACACCCTCACCACCACCACTAGTGTCAACACCCTCACCACCAGCACAACTGTCAACACTCTCACTACCACCACAACTGTCACACTCTCACCACCACCACAACTGTCAACCCTCCCCACCACCACCACTGTCAACGCTCTCACCACCACGTGTCAACACCCTCACCACAACTGTCAACACTCTCACCACCACCACCACTAGTGTCAACACCCTCACCACCATTCCCGACTGTCAACACTCTCACCACCACCACAACTGTCAACACTCACCACCACCACTTGTGTCAACACCCTCACCACCACCACAACTGTCAACACTCTCCTCCACCACAACTGTCAACACTCTCCCACCACCACTAGTGTCAACACCCTCATTACCACCTCTAGTGTCAACACCCTCCACCACCACCACAACTGTCAACACCCTCACCACCACTTGTGTCAACACCCTCACCACACTGTCAACACTCTCACCACCACCACCACTAGTGTCAACACCCTCACCACCATCACAACTGTCAACACTCTCACCACCACCACAACTGTCAACCCTCACCACCACCACTTGTGTCAACCTCACCACCATCACAACTGTCAACACCCTACCACCACCACTTGTGTCCACACCCTCCACCACCACCACAATCAACACCCTCACCACCACCATTAGTGTCACAACCTCTCCACCATCTCAACTGTCAACACTCTCACCACTACCTGTTTCCACACCCTCACCACCACGACTTGTGTCAACTCCTCACCACCACCACAGTCAACACCCTCACCACCACCACTTGTGTCCACACCCTCCACCACCAACACTTGTGTCAACACCCTCCACACCACCACACTGTCAACACTCTCACCACCACCTCTAGTGTCACACCCTCCCACCCTAGTTTCAACACCCTCACCACCACAACTAGTGTCAACACTTTCACCACCACTAGTGTCAACACCCTCACCACCACCAGTAGTGTCAGCACCCTCACCACCACTAGTGTCAACATCCTAACCCCACTAGTGTCAACACCTTCACCAACACTTATCAATAATTTTATAAATAACCAGTGTATTCACTCCCAGTAAATCTTACTTTCTTGCAATGCCACTATGTTGTAATGCCCAGTAGTAGGCTTGTCCCCACCTAGTTATTATATATCATATTTGTCTCTTATATTTACTTGTATATTATTTGTCAATCAAGAGACCCATTCCCCAATTATGTAACTGTATATTTTCAGCCTTCTGGCTGTCCTGCTCTTTCAATAAATCGTTAATTATTATTATTATTTATTATAACACTGTGTCATACCCTCACCACCATCACCAGTGTCAACAACTTCACCACGACTAACACTAGTGTCAACACCCTCACCACCACCACTAGTGTCAACACCCTCATCACCACTAGTGTCAACACCCTCACCACCACTAGTGTCAACACCCTCATCACCACAAGTGACAACACTCTCCCCACCACCACTAGTCTCAACACCGTCACCACCACTAATTAGGTAATGTTAGGTTAGGTTAGGTTAGGGTGCTTCATATAATTGAGGGGGTATATTCCTGAGATGTAATGTAAATAAGGATAAGAGACTCCATGACCATAGTGTCAATACTCCATTATTTCAGATTTATACTATAATAGGGGCTTTGAAGCTTGCTGAATAGCCTATTTTTGGAAGTGAGTGAAGCTAGTGCACTTGCTATTAGAGCTCATAAGATATCACCCAAGGTGGAACCTAGGAGGTGACAGGGCCAAATTTTCCATCTAGATTATTCTAGGCTGCGACTAGCAGTTGAATAAAACTGGAAACTTAAGAAAGCGAAACCTCATGAAAAAAAGCTCCTTTTGCCTGTGCCATGTTCAGGCGTGCCTGAGTTTTATCAGGTTTCATTCCTTCCAAATCCTACATCAAGAATCACAGGGGAAACTGAAGGAAGGGCAGGATTAAGTGTGTGCACTACACTCCTCACCAAAATAGGGTCAGCAAGCTTCAAATCCTATTTTAGTGAGATGAGCTCTTCTGTGCCTTTATACAGGAAGGAGGGGCTAAGATACAAGGCAGTGGTTCCCAACCTTTTTGGCTGTGACCTAAATTTCTCCAAGTCTGTGCAGTCCTCCAGGCATATAATATATTATATAGCTGAATGTTAAGCAAAAATTTGTTTGACTATGAAAAGTACTATATTTTTTAAGTTGTCTAAGGACACTTGCAGACCCTACTGAGGACTACTCACGATCAGTTTGGTGCGACCTGAGGTTGGGAACCAATGATGTTGAGGGAGCAGTGAACACACGCAGGACCATTTTAATTTTTTTTTTTAGATTAAGCTAAATTAATTTATTTTTACTGGCGTGCTATCTGTGGGTCGAGGGGTGAGACCCATTGCCACGCAGGGTGCGTCTGACACCTGGTGAGACAGGTATCTTGCTATGAAGCAGAGGACCGATTTCCACTGACCCCCTTCCCAGACCTGTGAGGAGGTGGGTCTTCAGGAAGGCCAGTAAAGCCTCTATAACCTGCCTCAACCTGTCTGCTAGTCCTCTGACTGACAGTGGGCGCCCCGACCGAGGATGAACGAAGAGGTGATGTGATGCTGGCCGGTGGTGTGATCGGCCGTAGCGGAGAGGTATTGGCGAGGGTGCCGACCGGGCAGAATCGGTGGTGCTCACCCTCCACCTTCTATGCCGGAACTGCTAATGGCTGGAGCCTATGGTTCTCTCGCTCGTTTTTCGCAAGGGGTGGGGAGAAAATGTCAGGGACACTGCAGAATCTCCTTTGTCGAAGGAGGTCAGTGGTCGAACCTCGATGAGTGCCTTGAGCTGATAGGACCTGAAGCCCGTGGCCAGCACAACGAAAGGGGCCTTCTGTAATAGGCGGTCCTTAGACGGCCAGATGGTGAATGGATCCTGGGGTGAGACAGATATCAGATTAATCCATGTCTAGGTAAAACCTTCAGAGCAACAAAAACATAGGAAAAACAGACAACATAAGGCCAGAGGCCCTCAGGCTAGGTTGTCAGTATGGTTCACAAGATTGAAGGAGTAGTATTTACTGAGCCCAGAAGAGAGAGGACTTTCTCTAAGGACCAGAAAGTACGGGATGATCTAGCAGGTGGTCACTGGTGGAACAGGCCCCGCTTCAGCAGGGTAACCGACCTGTTGTTAACCTTCACACCCCACCAGTAATCCTGGAGGTCGGTGAGGGCAGCCAGGTGGACGGAGAGGGTTGGATAGACCTGCTTGCGCTAGAACTCTAGTACTATACTTTCACTGGACGTGGGAGTTCCTTGCTCCTTGAGGTCTTAAGCTTTCCAGCAGGACTCGTATTGTCAAGTAGTGGAGGGTCTTAGTCCTGATAAACTGTCCTCCACCACTCTAGCCGAATACAGTCTGCTCAGGGAGGCACAGAGAAACTCCATGCGTTAAGTGAAGTGATCTCTGTAGCCTGACAACAAGGGCATCGAAGAGACAGACGTTCACTAACATCAGTGGATGCAGACACCAGCCAAGTAGCTTTAAGAATAATGGTTGAGCCAACCAGTAGGGGGCCAGAGGACCTTCCCCTTGAAGCTGCGAAGCTTGTGGCAGACCCATAGCAGAACCTTGGAGCAAGGGGGTGGGAACAAGTAGATGTAGGTCCATCTGTTCCAGTCCTCTGTGAAGGCGTCTGGTCCCCGTGTGCTGTCGGCGTCAACCGACTCAGTCGCTGGGAGCTGAGTGGGTATCGGAGGCAAGAGGTCCACCTCCTGCCGACTCCACTGCTTTATCAGTGACTGAAACACACTCTGGCATAGTGTCCACTCTACTGGCATCCCCTTGAAGTGGGATAGAGCGTCGGCCCAGCCGTTCTCGATCCCCAGGACATGACGAACGGACAGGTGGATATTCCGGTGGTGTGCCTCCTTGAAGATCTGCTCCGAGAGCATTTGGGCTGAGCTAGACGTGCCCTGCCTGTTGAGGCAGAAAACGGCTGCTGTGCTGTCCATTTCGAAGCAGATAGCCTCGTCCTGCGTAGTCTGGTTGTCCTCCAGGAATCTCCATGCCACGTACAGCTCTCGTACGTTGATGTGAGCCACCCTCAACTCATCTGTCCAGCCCCCGAACTGCTGGTGACCCTTGGAAGACTGGTACCCCCAGCCTACGTTGAGCATCCGATTCTATGAAGAGGGTAGGTGCTTGTGGAACCCAGAGTGTTCTCCGGCGCAGGGCGTCGCGATAACCGGGCGTAGAAGGGCGGACAAGTGAGGGGACATGGGACGGTGGAAGGCAGACGACCCAGGGGTACCTCTGCCGTGTCGTTGAGGGAGCCTAGGAGGGTCTCTCACTGGATGCGAGTGAAGCTGACCGACATTGAGGCGACATAGAGGCGCTGGAGTATCCGTCTTGCGTTGTCTGGGCAGAGGCGGGAAGCCGTGGAGGTGTTCCTCATCCCCAGCCACACCAATTGTGATGGTAAGAGGGAGGATTTTGGGTGGTTGATTATGAAGCCCATGCCCTCCGCCGTGGCTAGTGTTACCCTGATGCTTGATTCGCCTTCTTCGCTGGACGAGGCCGAGATCAGCCAGTCGTCCAGGTACATGAGGACGTCTAACTTGCGGTGGGCGAGCTCCCTGGCCAAGACCCTCATGATTCTGGTGTAGACTGTCGGAGCTAGGGAGAGACCGAAGAGGAGCCGGGTAAATTGAAACACGCCCCCCCCCCTACCCTCCACCTGGAAGGCCAGAAACTTCCTGAACCTCCTGTGGATTAGAACGTGCCAGTAGGCGTCTTCCAGGTCGATGGAGCAGCCAGGCCCTGTTGATATGGAGGCAGATCTGAGCTATCGACACCATTCGAAAATGGTGCGGCTTGATAAAGCGGTTCAGGAGGCTGAGATGCACCACCAATCTCTCCATGTTCGAGTCTGAAGGCCTCCCACAGGAGGTTCAACCGTGCCCCTACCGCCTTATCCAGATGAGGGCGAAGGTTAATAGCCGAGGCGGAGGCGAGTCTGGGTAGATAGGGCCTTGTAGACGCCGAATGCCGAGTCTGGGTGGAGGTAGTTACGGTTGTCGGCCAGTGCCTTCAACCAGGCGTTGAGTTGGGCCAGTCCTGCCATAGTGGAGAAGGCGAGGGCTGCCTGCTGCCTCTCCATGGTGTCCTTGGTCAGGGTGGCCTGGGCTACCTGAGAGGCCTGTCACGGGAGAGAAACTGGGTTAATTTTGGAGCCCACAGGAACTCCATCAACTCGTTTGGTACCCGGTCATGGTGAGGGGGATAAGACTACAGGGAGAGCTGTTCTTTCTAGCCGCCGCCGTCCAAATTGACTAGAGGTCGAGGCCCATCTTTTTCGATGGAAAAAGGGCCTGGCCGGCTGCTTGGACACACCTCCTACTGTCCTGTAGTGTTGCCACTCGGGACGGACTTGCAATGGACAGCACGGAACAGGAGGCCAGAGAGGCGAAGGCGTCCAGGACCGCAACCAGGCACGTTCCTGACAGGGCTGGGGCCATCTCCCTTCTCGACAGGCGGAGCTGCCGGAACTCGAAGTACTCTGAACCTAAGCCGTCCGCCCGTCGTCTGACCTCTAAGTCGGACCGGGAAGAGAGAACTAGGTTCTCCCCCCTCCACTCGAAAAAATGGCCAGTCTCCCGTGGTGCCAGTGCACACACCAGTCCCGTGGGACCCGAGCTCACTTATACCCTGCCCCTCCACCCCAGCTGATGATGTTATCAGATTTCTTAAAAGAGAGGGAAGCGTCCTTTCGGAGTGGGGAAGGTCCCTTCTCCTGACGAAGGCCTGGGCCTTGTTGGGGCTGCCGAGGATGCTGAGACCGACTCCTGGTCTGAGTCGGAGTAGTCAAGCAGCCTCTGTGAGGACCCGGCCCACTTTGGCTGGGCCGGACTCTGAGAACACTGAGGGGTCCGGGGAGGGAGGCGGGATCTCCGTACCACAGGAAGTTGGTTGGAGGGGCCTGGGCCTGCTGCTGCTGAAGCTGCTGCGCTCCGAGCCAGGAAGACAGAGCGTCCTCCTTGCGGGTCCACTTCGCTGCCAGCAACTGTCCTTAGGCGACCTGGGGCGGTGGTGCCTGTGGGAGGAGGACTAGGTGGGACTCCCGGAGTGGTGACAGTGGCGACTGGAGGAGTGAGCACTCGACTCCCGGATGGGCGTGGGGAAGCGCTGCAGAGAGCCCAGACGTCCAGAGCGGAGAGAGGTGGGCTCCCCGGTGGCCGACTGAGAAGGCGAAGAGGTGGACCTCGGACTGTGGTCCTCGGTAGAGCGGTCTCTCCCCAAGGGGCCTCGGTGGCAAAACACCAACGGGGAACAGAGATCCTGGTCCCTCCAGGAGAGGGAGGGGGTGCCCTGGTGTCTGGTGGAACTGGAGGCTGCCGCCCAGCGGTGCTGAAACTACTGCCAGAAAATGTGGGAGGTGTCCACATCCTCGTCAACGACACGAAGACCACCTCCACCCTCAGAGCACCATACAGTGACTCGGGTAGAACCTGTCGTCATCCACACATGGGGCGTTGGCTGAACAGGTGGAGTGGTCATCCTGTTGGAACCTGGCCGAACACCTCGGGGCCGAACAAGGCACCTTCTTGATCTGGGGATGTAAAACAAACAGGAGAAATAAAACAAAGGAGCAAGGAGGAAGACAAGACTACAGACGTCTCTCTGTACAAACAAGCCAAACCATGAAACGGTAACGACTCGTGGCGTGGGCCTAGACATGATAAAACACAAACAGAGGAAGAGGGAGAATGAAAATGAAGGGTGGGAAAACCGAAGCCTATTAGAGCAACTTGAAGAGGAGGAATGGGCACCAACTCAGAAACCACAGAACGTGACTACAAGGCACGGGAAAGAGGGATAGAAGAAAGCAGCACTCACACGAGGAGGGCCACCCTAATGGGGAAAAGCAACCAACACAGGGACGCGCCGTGAAGCACCACACAAGTAGATAAAGGGGGGCAAAACACTTTACAGAAAAGAAGCCTGAAAATGGCCGAAAGCCAGAGAGCACCGACACAAGCCAACTAAGCCGAACCTAGAAAAACAACACTCTCCTCTTAATTAACTGAAGAGGCAATTTTGGCCCTGCAGACGTGAAAAAGCACAGGGGGTGTGGAAAGTCATCAGACACTAACCATAATGTGAGAAGAAGCTGAAGCAGGAGAAAAATCTGGAATGTCTACCTACCACAGGAGGGCAGAAAGGAATGACCTTTGATTTAAAACGCAGGTATGCCATAACACGACACAGGCAATAGGAGCTCATACTGTGCAAGTTTCTATTTTCTCAAGTTTCCCATTTTTCAACTGCTAGTCGCAACCTAGAATAATACAGTAGTTAAAATTTGGCCCTGTCACGTCCTAGGTTCCACCTAGGGTGATATCTTATGAGGTCTAATGGCAAGTGCACTAGCAAGCTCATCTCAGTAAAAGATTGTGTAGTGTGTGGGAGGCGGCAGGTTTAAAATATCCAGCCCTATGTACTGTATTCTACATCAACAGTCAAGTGACACATACTGTACATCAGCAGTCGAGTGACACATACTGTACATCAACAGTCGAGTGACACATACTGTACATCAACAGTCGAGTGACATATTGTACATCAACAGTCGAGTGACACATATTGTACATCAACAGTCGAGTGACACATACTGTATATCTCATCATGTATGAATCGCAGTCAATGTTTGGGGCGGCTTTATTCGTTACCACCTTATTGGCCCAGTGTCAACACTCATTTTCTTGAGGGCTGTGCCAGTGATGCTTGTGACCTTCAGGATACATCAACAACAGTACTGTTGTACAGTCAACCACTGAAGTCTGTTCGCCTCTCCCCTTGAACTACAAATTCCGAGATTCAGTCTCATGAACCCGAAGCAGTAGACTGATACAACATTCTGTTCATAAATGCTTTGAGTTCATCAGTCTGAATCTCAGGGTTCGTATTTCAGGAGGAGCCTGGCGCACGAACTTTACTAGTTGACCGTACCGTCAAAAAAAATCTGCATCCCCCCTTGGGTGTGGAGGTCTTCACAACGATCACTAACTGAGGCGATGTTCATTGTGTGATGCATTGTGTAACCAATACGATGTATTCTGTATATCACATGTGGAGAAATTAACCAAGGAATACATACTTATGCTTGTTAGAATTCTTGGTTCAGCATATCGCATTGTAAAGCACAGTAAAGGTGCAGAAAATTTTTGTTGTTGACTGTACAAGCATGGTGGTGCCCCAGCTCATTTTGTTCTAGTAACAATGGAATTCCTAAATGTTGGGTATTCTGACAGGTGGATAGGGCAAGGCCCACGGCCCTGTTCCATGGGCACCTCGATCACCTGACCTAAATCCTCGTCACGTTAAAACATAATGTTTGATAAAGAGGCCCCGCCTCGTGAGGAATTGTGGGCCAGTACATGACACTGCCACAAGCATTCACATCACCTCTGGAAAAGGGCCGGAACGTTGAACATTTATTGGAAAATGCATATCAGAGTGCATATGATTGTAAATAAATTGTTCTAGAAATACTGGAAATCTAATTTATACTCGGTAAAGTTTAATACATCTACCAACTGTCATGTGTTATAACTCTTAAACTAGGAAGTAACAACATGGTCATGAAGTATGTCTCAGGACTACTCCCTAGTATTATGTAATGTATTTACGAAACACACTGTAGTTTAGTTAAGAGTAGGTTAGCTTATATTAGGTTATTGTAGATTTGGTTAGATTAAATTTGGTTAGATTAGCAAGCCCAGTTTCTGTAGTTGCTCTATCATAGCATCTATTATAATGTTCTCTGGTACTTTTTACACTATGCTGGTCAGGTTCACTGGTCTATAATTAATTGTCGGGTGACGATCGCCCATCTTGAATATAGGACTCTCATAAGCCATTTTCCAGTCACTGGGGACCTTTTGCTCCTCCAGGCATTTGCAGAACCGGATCATAAGGGGCTCAGTAAGCTCGTTGCACTACTCTCTTAGCTCTCTGGGATGCATGCTGTTGGTGCCCGAGCTTTTATGAACCTTTAGCCTTGACAATTTGTTCCTAATACTCTCTTCTGAAAACACAATGTGTGTCAGCCCTGTGTCAACCCGCCTTTCCTGAAACGCAAGGAGATTTTTTGCATTCTCTCTTGTGAACTCTGATTTGTTTAACACCTCCGCCTTGCCTTGATCTGAGTCTGCGTAACTACTTTCTTCACCTACACGTGTCTTTAATTTCGACTTTACGTGCAGATAAAAACGCCTTTGGGTTAAACTTGACCTCGCTTGCAATCCGTCTTTTAAACTCTTTTTCAGCCTCTCTACACTCTGACTTTCCCTGGTTCCTGGACCTGCCATACATCCATCTATCGTGCTTATCATTTGTTACCACTCATCTCTTAATTTGTGAGATTTTTCTCATCTTTGGCGACATACGTTGTTTTACGTATGCGGGTCTCTGGTACTCCTGGAGCCAGTAAGATTGATCATAGGTATATGTTTATCACACAAATAGTTCACTTACTTGTCTATGGTACATTCTTGTTTACCAACGAGTCAAGCCAGTGACTAGGTTGGAGGTTAGGTTAAGAAAGGATATCTCTCTCCCCTCCACCTACATTTGCAGGTATTCATTTTTCCTCTGTCTCTCACACCCTCTCTCTCACTGTCTCTCACTGTCTCTCATCCTCACTCTCACTGTCTCTCCCACCCTCTCTCTCACTGTCTCTAACATCCTCTCTCTCACTGTCTCTAACACCCTCTCTCTCACACCCTTTCTCTCTCACACCCTCTCTCTCACTGTCTCTCACATCCTCTCTCTCACTGTCTCTCACAACCTCTCTCTCACACCCTCTCACTCACTGTCTCTCAAATCCTCTCTCTCACTGTCTCTCACACCCTCTCTCTCACTGTCTTTCGCACCCTCTCTCTCACTGTCTCACATCCTCTCTCTCACTGTCTCTCACATTCTCTCTACTGTCTCTCACATCCTTTCTCTCACTGTCTCTCTCCTCTCTCTCACTGCTCTCCTCACATCATCTCTCACCTATCTCTCCACCCTCTCTCTCACTGTCTCTCCCCTCTCTCTCCCCTGTCTCTCACATCCTCTCCATCCTCTCTCTCACTGTCTCTCCCACCTCTCTCTCTCCTGCTCTCCCCCTCTCTCTCACTGTCTTTCATCCTCTCTCTCCTGTCTCTCACCCCTCACGTTCACTGTCTCTCACATCCTCTCTCTCTCTGTCTCTCCCACCTCTCTCTCACTGTCTCTCACACCCTGCCCCCTCTCTCCCCCACTCTCTCACTGTCTCTCCTCTCTCACTCACTGTCTCTCTCCTCTCTCTGTCTCTCCCACCCTCTCCCTATCTCTCAAATCTCTCTCTCAATGTCTCTCCCACCTCTCTCTCACTGTCTCTCGCCGTCTCTCCTGTCTCCACCTCCTCTCTTTTCACTGTCTCTCTCCCACCCTCTCTCTCCTGTCTCTCCACCCCTCCCTCTGCTCTCCCCTTCTCTCTCTCACTGTCTCTACACCCTCTCTCTCTCCTGTCTCACATCTCTCTCTCCTGTCCCTCTCTCTCCAAAGTCTCTCCCTCTCTCACAGTCTCTACCCCTCTCTCTTTCTCTCATCCTCTCCCCTCCTCTCCCTCCTCTCTCTCCCTGTCTCTCCACCCCTCTCCTGTTTCTCTCACACCCTTTCTCTCACACCCCTCTCCTCACTGTCTCCATCCTCTCTCTCTGCTGTCTCTCACACCTCTCTCTCACTGTCTCTCACACCTCCCACCTCTCTGCCCCTCTCTCACTGTCTCTCCCCCTCTCTCTCTCACTGTCCCTCTACATCCTCTCTCACTGTCTCTCACACCCTCTCTCTACAGTCTCTCACACCTCTCTCACTGTCTCTCACATCCCCTCTCTCTACTGTCTCACACACTCTCTCTCCACACCCTCTCCTCCTCTATCTTCTCAAATCCTCTCTCTCTCACTGTCTCTCACACCCTTTCTCTCACTGTCTCTCCACCCTCTTTCTCTCATGTCTCCATCCTCTGTCTCAGCTCTCTCCTAATTTCTCTCTCACTGTCTCTCACATCTTCATCTCTCTCTCACTGTCTCTCCCACACCCTCTCTCTCTGTGTCCCACACCCTCTCTCTCCTGTGTCTCCCTCTCTCTCTCCTGTCTCTCACCCCCTCTCTATCACTGTCTCTCCGTCCCTCTCCTCACCCTCCCTCTCACACTCTCTCTCCTGTCTCTCACATCTCTCTCCTTGTCTCTCACACCCTCTCTCTCTGTGTCTCCCTCTCTCACTGTGTCTCACCCTCTCTCTCCTGTCTCTCACACCCTCTCTATCACTGTCTCTCACGTCCTCTCCCTCCCTCTCGCATCCTCTCTCTCCTGTGTCTCTCCCACACCCCTCTCTATCACTGTCTCTCCCCTCTTCTCT